GAGAAGTGCTCCATGGCTGAACCAAATCCCCAGTTTACTTTAGTGGTACACATTTTCTTTCTCTGAAATTATTTTGAAGATTTCACTAAGTTACCTGATCTATTTCAAGTGTTTCTATCTGTATATCTTAATGTCTTTCAAAGTTGCATTTGTCTTTCGTATTTTACAGCAAGCTATATCCATCAATCAAAGACTGTTTCTGGATACTAATATACTACAGTTTCACTCCCCCAGCCCTGGGCTTCATTCTCATTCTTGATCTGCTGGACTTAAAATGTTGTTGCTGAATCATTTAGTATTAAATTAAAATGATAAGCAAGCAAATAAAAATAAAACTTGATTTACATACTGAGAAACTCCATTTCTGCATTTGCTTATAGTAAAAAGAAAATACTGAACAACTTCCTCCATGACATATGTGTTTCATTCATTTTGGTTTTGCTCCAGCATCTTTTCATAAAAAGTCCCATCTCCAAAATACTGTGGAGCAGAATGAAGGTGCAGGTGTTTAATTTTGCAATGCCTGAGAGTTTTACAGAAACCAAGCATTACTATGGAAATCTTTCTAATATGTGTAAGATTAGTCATTAAGTTCCAGGCCAATGTGAGTGCTGTGTATAATTTCCATTAACGTTGGACATGTCACCAAAGTTGAAGTGTGAAAGGCAAGTGGTTGTTTCCGTGTATGAAATAGGGATCACGGAATTTATGCTATGAAATCTACATTGTTACTCATTCTTGATTTTTCTCTCAATGTCACAGAAATCTCACCAAATTACAAAATAAGTCCTTCACCTTATACTTTGACTCCAAAAAAATGTGCTACTAGAGTGCTGAATATGAAACTTTGTTACAGACCCAAAGTTACTCCTCGAGTTAGAATTCTCTAAGAATTACAAGGAAATAAACACAAGTTCTCTAGCATACAAGAGTTTCATTTTTACTAGTTGATAAGTATAGAACAACCAGCTTTGTGCTGTAAAGTCCAAGAGTCTTAGTACTTATTGAAATTCTCTACAGTATCTCTTTTTCTGTAGATGTTTGGTCCTTGATGCTTCCAGTTATAGGGGCTGCAAAAAGGCCCTTTCTACCAGGAAAGCAGAAGAGTAGAACTTACCCCGTGCTTGTGCTGCTTGCTGGGGCTCGGCGTTGTCCAGGAGACCAGCAGCCCAGAAAGAGACCCAAGTCTCCTTGGAAACGTCAACACTGGATTCTGACGTTGTAGTGGAATACGGGCAATTATAACTCTGGCCTCCTACAGAATACTGATCTTGGCAAGGCAGAATGGTGTTCTGTGAAATTCAGTATGACCGGGATGTGGGAGATGGCATGATGGCAGTTGGGAGAAAATGGGAAAAAAATGGAGAGAAATTACATGTGGTAAAGCAGATAAACAACAAAAGTGATAACTACAGGTACAGATACATATTTGAATGGTGTGGTTATAATTACTACCAAAGAATAGGCTCTTTGAAGTACTCATTACTCTCCTAAGGCCTTTTCACTATGGTATTGGATGGACCAGGTTTGTAAACATTAGAGGAATATTTCCTATTTCAGTGCTTCACTGGAGTGGTAAAGTACCCAGAGATTAAGTAAAAAGATTAGGTCTTATAATTCAAAAATATAAGAACTTTTTGTTTCTCTGTAGTGAATACCTTGGTTTTATTTCTAATAACCTCGAAAGACAAAGATCATAGACTACAAAGGGTTAAGTGAGCAGTGCTACCTGGCGTCATTTCAAGTGACCTCTTAATCTGGAAGTCAGAATCAGACGTGTGCTTTCCCTAACTGGGCATACGTTAGGCCATACAGAGATAATTACACACATTTTGCCCCCCCCAAATCAAGTCACTGAAACATAACATCAGTCCCGGTAATAGAAGCTGAGAATAAAGTCAGGGGGTTCTAGTTCCCTACATCATTAAAGCTCAGTTCCCTTTCCAAGTTATCTTGCCTCCAATGGTTGCTTGCTGTGCTTTCTCTACTGTGTTCTGATTCAGTGAACACCCTCCTGCCCCACCCTCCTCACTCCTCATACCTCAAATACGGTATTTCCAAATGTCCACGCAGGGACAGATAGGCTGCCTTCCTAGCTTAAGCTGTCCAACAGCACATTCTTCATGATGCGTCAGTGTTTAATCAGGTAAAAGACATCCTTTGCAGCAGAGTCCAAACTTTAGCAAATTCTTTTTGACCACTACAAGTCTGCTGCCCCCTTAAAGACTTTCTTGGACATAACGAATTAAGAAAAGGGAAGAGCAGGCAGAAAGGAGGGCGAAGGAGGAGGAAAATAAGAATAAAAGAGCAGATTTATTATCTTCGAGTCACTTGGGTAACACTTGGCTCCTGCTGCCAGTGAGTGAAAGTTTGGAGTATGCTTGGGCAGTGCTGCCTAAAGAAATTCAGCCAAAAGTTTATCAAGTGCTATTTTCTTTTACTCTGAAAGTATGTTGGTAGACTCCTTTTATTATTGGAATAGGAGCTCAGCTATTATGCAATTGACACCTGAGAGGAAAAGAAACCCCAAACACACACAAGCAGCTCAAATCTAAGTGTTTGCAAATATGTGCATAATCTAGAGGAACAGGTGGAAGGAAAGAAAGCCTGAGCAGGGAGAGGGAAAGTGGGTGGGGTGAGGAGGCAAATATGCAGAGAGAGGGAACACAGAATAAAAAAGGGGTGCAGGGCAGCAAAAATGGCCTCTTCTAACTGGAAAATACAAAGGCATCTCCGAAGGAGGAATACATTCTAAATGCAGGATTTAGGATTGTCTTGCAGGACAATCCTCACAGCGGACTAGCTAAGGCCGGCTCCTCACTTACCATCTTGCAGAAGAAAGCGCTGCAGACACTGTGCCCACTCAGCTTTTTCTCAAAGCCAGACTTAGCTTTAAATGGGACTGCAGGGAGGAGCAAGGAAGCGAGTTCTAATCCACTGGAGTGCTCGCTCAGGGCTCCTGGCTGGTGCTGCTCTCTGAATTAGTGCGAGGCTGTCAAACAGGTGACAGTGCCTGGGGAGGCGCCCAGCCTAAGCCACAGCCAGTAGCGCCTGGGAGACACCAGCACTGGGATGTGAGACTCGCGGGTCCCCTTGCGGGGGACAGAGGCAGGGCCCGAGGCTCCAAGCCTGTGCCTGTGCGAGCCGTGTCTATAGAGTCTACCTGGCTTAGCGGCAGCCGGCGCTGGGGACTTGGCTGCCCCGCTCACTCTGTGCCACGCGCCCAGCAGCCGGCAGGGCGGGGCCGGGCAGGGCGGACAGCCAGCCCCCGGAGGCATCTCAAGGCCAAACCTTGGTCTCTGTTCAGCGCTAAAAAAGTCCTTCCAAGGGACCCTGCTGTGAGTGGCGCTCTGTGCTTTCCGTGGTCGCAGGATAACAAGTGATGGTGATAATAACGTCTACTTGATATTTTTTTTTCAAGTTAATGGGTCTTATTTCACCCAGTTCTTGCAAGGTGTAAACGTGAGGACAAACATCAAATCTAGAATGTACATTTCCAACACGTGAATGCCACGTCTAACTCCACAGCACCTTGGACAATGGCCCGAACACAAGTACTCAATAAAATTTTGTTCAAACAATGAAATAATGTCCACATTTAGGAATCTAAAGTGCTTTTCTCTGAGTTGGGCTGATGCACACCACGATGACATAAAACAAAACAAAACAACAAATACTGGGGAAAATGATGTCTCTCCGTATCTCATGATGTATTTTATTTCCTTATCTTTTATTTCAGTCTCACATGAATCTCTATGATGCTCATTGTAGGGATGAGAGAGAAGCAATGCCTCCTTCAGGGGAACTCCAGCAGCCAACTCTCACTTGCATCCATCATGTAAATGGACATGAAGCAGTGCGCGCGTAGGATGCAGTTCCAGCAAGCCCGAGAATATCCTCAGACGTCTCCAAGACAGCTTGCCAGAGGCACCTTCACCACCCTGGATATTGCCGAATGAGGCACACTAGCCAGTTGTGGCATCTGCCCACCAACAGATAAACACATTTAAAAAAAAAAGTCTAAACCAGGAAGTCTTATCCAGCTATGAATATGCATTATGGTTATTTGCAGAAAAAATATGGTAGACTTAGAGATCATAATCCTAAGTAAAATAAAGCAGACTGAGAAGGACAAATAGCTTATGTGTAGAGTCGCTGTTTAAATTGTGTATATGTGTGTATGTGTGTACATGAGCATTTGTGTGTTTGTGTGTGTGTGTGTGTGTGTGTGTGTGTACACCTGTGCGTGCACACGCGTGTAAAAGAGAAAGGGCACTATTTCACTGTTAGGTAAGAGGTACTGTTTTACTGTTTGTTAACAGGAGAAGGACCAGAAGGTGGAAAAGGCAAGAGAGGGCAATGGGTGTAAATAGGAGCAAAATACATAATGTGAAATGTTATGAGGAAGCCTATTACTTTATATAATGAATGTATGCTAATAATAAATTTTAAAAACCCTAGAGGTTGACAGTCAACAGAAGAGCTCAGTACTATTATTCTCTCAGTTTAGCACAGTACATAAGTGTCAGACTTCGGATTTGGACTTCAGGCTAAGATAACCAAGTTTCCTTGTACCTATCCCAAGCAAACTGCATTTACCATTCTCACTCTTTTTAGCACATAGATATGTGTGTAACTGGCACTGCTATGGGCCAATTTGTGTTCCCTTCAAATCCATAAGTTGAAGTTTTTTGCCAATGTTACTTACTATGTTTAGGGAAAGGGTCTTTCAAGAGACCCAGCTTAACCTCATGTCTGGTGGAATTATGAGAAGGCAGAAATACCAGGGACCTGCGATCGCACACACACAAGGAGAGGTCACGGGAAGACAGAGTGAAGAGGCTCAGGAAAAACCAACAGCCCAGCGGAAACCTTGATGTCGGGCTTCCAAAACCTCTGAATCAGATTTCAAGATTGCCAGGTAGCTCTGAGAAACTAATGTGTACATGACGCAGAAACTGAGAACCAAAGTTTGAATCCAGCTTACTTATAGCTCTGGAGAAAAAAAAAAAAGCTTTTGAAAATTGTCCTCTTTCTCTGTCGTACATAGAATTTAGAAAAACCATGATATGACAGACCACTCTGTGACCCAAGATCAAGAAAGGTGTAGAGAAGGAAGTGGGGGTGTGTGTGTCAGATTTATCAAAGGTTTTTTTCCTGCTCTGATAATATTAATTGAAAAAAAAAATAAGTGAATGCAACCATGAGTGAAGATCTCTGCATGGAAAAGAGGCAAATCAGATCACTCAATGCCAGTTCATTCCAGGGTGTTCTAAGAGAAAGTGGTCCCCACTCTGCTCTTATAGTACAGAGGGAAAATCCCCAAATACATTTAGATCTTGAAAACCAATGATCTTATTCAAGGCAAAGATCCCTTAATGATTTAGTCTGGTAAACAGCTAATCTCTTTAACAAAACCTGCTCAATAGTAGAGATAGAAACACAGGGGCTGGGTGGACTTGCTTTGGAAAGCCGGCACAGATGCGGTGTCTGTTTGCTGCTCCTGGTTGCTGTTGATGCAGCGAAACAAGAAAAACCAGCCCCAACATACAAGCCTTAGAAAAACACATTATCTTTTCACTCTAAAAATGATACAAAGTAAGTAAATTAGCAAGTATGATAAACGAAAAAGGAAAAAAAAATCGGTTTTGCATTAAAATCTAAATAGATTCCAATTTCTGGTGGTTTTTTTTTGTTTTTTGTTTATTTGTTTGTTTGTTTGAGTTTCAACTACGAGGGTTGCATTATCAGAGTCTCTAAATACCAGTAACTCATTTGATAAATTAGAAGAGAAATGCTTACAAGAGATTTCAAATATGGACCATATTTGCTAAGGCTCAATAAATTCCCAGTTTGCTGATTGAAACTGTTATTTAAGAATTCTGCCTTAGATTGTGTATAAATATCTATGGTTCTGTTGGACTGGCAAAATGGGAGGTTTTTTATATCTAGATGTAAGTTTTAAAATTCTTTGATGTGTTTTTAGCACATAAATACTTAGCAGGTTGTTGACCACTTCAGCTCAGTCGATGTGGTAGGGTACATGGTGAAAGAGAAACGCTGAACACTGGAGAGCTATCCACAGTTAAATGTAAATCAGATCATAAATACTTGCTGAAATTAACACACAATGGAGACAGGCATAGTGGTCAAAAACTCTAATCCTAGCACTTGTGCTGCAGAGGCAGGCAGATCTCTGAATTATAAACATTAGAGGCCAGTCTGGTCAACAAAGTAAATTCAGAACAGCCAGGACTACACAGAAAAGCCATCTTGAAAAATCAGACCAGAGAAAATCATAGAACAACAAAACAAACAAAAAAACAAACAAACTAAACTTTAACCAACCAAACAAAGAAACAAATAAAATAAAAACCCGAAACCCAAAACCAAAATACCTTCGATGGAAACACTTCAAATCTGTGGACTCTGTCATACCCATTATTTTCTTTAGATTCTCTGTTTAAGCATGAGCTTAAATACTTTTATTATTAAAATGAACAAACAAAACAACAACAATAACAACAAACACACTTAACCAAGTAAGCCATAATGTGAAATCCTTTGGCAGGTGTATCCAAGTATATGAAATTAAGGTTCATGTCTCTTCATGATGCATATCAACCTATGGAAATTCTTTTCTCCTATGCAAGTAATGGGAGCAATTGAAAATTGCCTTTGTATTGTGTGAGAGGAGATGGTGTTACATAGAAAGCTAATAACAGTTCAGTTGTTGAATCAGGATGAAAAGTATAACAAAATGGGAGGTAATTTGACCTGCACACAAACCAAGTCTACAGACAGCGAAAGGTAGGGTATGATCAGAGGGGGTGAAGATAAAAAATACATGGGCATATGGAATGGTCTTCCATTTCACCCCTGGAGAATGCTCTCTTCGATTTGCCCATTAGTGGATTCAGTAGCATATACAATAATGAAGAATTCTTTTTCTTTGTAAACACAGCTCCTTCCCATAGCATAGACAGCTGAGTCTCCAAGTAATAAGAGGATCATGTTTCTCCTTTTTCCTACAGATAGAGTGTTACATGTGGAAAAATTTCAGTGCAGCAGCTTTGTATCTTAACACTTGTAATTCTTTAGAGTATCAGGAGGGGTGTGACATATCCAGTTTCTGAGATACAGCTTTAAATGCACTCATCCAAAAGTGTATGCAGGAATCATTTATTTTAGTATGGACAGAGAGTTGCTTCCTACCTACCACCTAGGTGTCATTGGAGATTTCTAATGGTTATGACATATATGATACATTTCACAGTGATAAAAATTATTTCCACAGAAGCTGGACATGCAAAAATGGTCAACATTTAATTCTGAAAGCAGAAATAAAAAAAATTGAGAGGTGTGTGGTGGTGATTAGTTAGAAAAGAGAAATGTCTTGGATGAGGTCATGAGTGATATGTCTGATTTGGGACCAAATCAAAATGAATGTCTCTTTGTGGAAAGTGTGTGTGTGTGTGTGTGTGTGTGTGTTGGTTATGTCAGCCAGAATTTCTTTAATAGCTTTATGTCTACCACTATTGATTGATTAATAAAATGATTGGTGATAATTCACTTATGCTCGATGTATTAATTAAACAATTATTTGATTAAAGCACATCACATACCATCATCATATTCAAAAATCAGAAGAGGATCATTATAAGAGCATATCTTTCTTATATCAACTATGTACTTACGTGAGGTTGCTTGTAAATGGACACTGATATGTACTCACTGTTCAGGGAAATGCTTCTGTACCTGGCAGCCTTTTGTCATAATTTAACATTTACACATAGGATGTGAGTCCAGTTAGGATAAAGAGGCTTCACCTTTCAGTTGATAGAAATGGGAGTTCCCATTTCCTTCAGGTCCCACTTGGGCACAGAGACAATCAGTACCTCACCTCTCTGCCACTTACTATGTGAACAGTGGTGGGAAGCTTTGCTCCATGGCAAGCTATCTATCTAAACTGAAATAAGAAAATGCCAATAGGACTCAGAAAGAGCATTTAAAAAACATTGAATTCTACCTCGCATTGACACAGCCATTAGAGAGGACGCATTTCAACTGAAGCAAGGAGGATTCAGGGCTAAAGAGGAAGCTCTGTGCCTCGGTGCTTGCCTGTTATGCGAGGCCCCAGAATCCATCCCCAGCAGCAGTAACAAAATAAATAAACAAGTCGATAAATCAATACAACTTTATTCCGCACACATTAACTCAGTGAAAAAAATGATAAAAGTAGTTATGATGATTAATATGTGTCAGGGATATGCTCATCTAAGTTTGATATAAAATAAAATTCTGCTTTGTGAAATCAATATTTTACCAGCTAGACTCCAGTGTCGACGTTGTTCAAGCCTCCCTGTGAGGGATGCCTGGCAGGCTAGATGACAGATAG